AGCTGCCCGCCGACACGCGGCAGCGCATCCATGAATACTATGAGCACCGCTACCAAGGCAAGATGTTCGATGAGGAGAGCATCCTAGGCGAGCTGAGCGAGCCACTTCGAGAGGTGGGCCAGGCTGGGCTGAAGCCAGAGGGCTCTGGGGTTGAGCTTTTGGGGATAGAGGCTAGCGAATGGTGCCTGCAAAGAACTCCACAGAAGGCTAGGTTTCTGGGGGGCTGTCAGGGGTTAGGGTCTTTCACAAAGACCTCATGAGGATGTGTATGCAGGGGAAGGCTATATGGGACCTCTACCTGGGAGTGGGAGGCACAGGGCCCATGGGAGAATTCTAAAGGTAGGGGTTTCTGGGGACAGATAAACTTGGTGGGGCACCTTGGGGCAGGGGGCACAGCCTGCCTGACGAGCTCTTCTCCTGCCCAGGAGATCATTAACTTCACTTGCCGGGGCCTAGTGGCCCACATGCCGCTGTTTGCCCACGCGGACCCCAGCTTCGTCACGGCAGTGCTCACCAAGCTGCGCTTTGAGGTCTTCCAGCCGGGGGACCTCGTGGTGCGTGAGGGCTCCGTGGGCAGGAAGATGTACTTCATCCAGCACGGGCTGCTCAGTGTGCTGGCGCGTGGCGCCCGGGACACCCGCCTCACTGATGGATCCTACTTTGGGGGTCAGCACAGCAGGCCTTAGGGAGCATGGGGAGTCAGGAGCAGAGGGCAGGTGCTCCCCTGGACTGGGATCCTCACCTAGCTGTACTACAGAATCAGTGTCCTCAATCATAGCTCTGTGGTTAGCATCATTGGGCTCAGAGGCCTGGAGCTCTGTCTTTTCTAGAAACTTCTGAGGAGATTCCAGTGCACAGCCAGGTTGAAAACTGCACAGAGGGGCTTTCTTTCTGTGATCTTACAGAGTGCAACTGGAAGATCCTATGTGATGAGGGAAAAATAGGAACAAAGCAGAGGTGTCCCAGGGGTTGAGCTTCGAGACTCACTTCACTGCAGCTGGAGTAGCAGGGAGTAGTTCTGCCGGCTGCTGCCTAAAGTGACTTGAGGCTTTTAGAGTCTCTCAGTTTGTTCCCAAGCCACACTCCAGTATCCCTATTTCTTTGCACTCTGCCCTTTGGGACTTCTTTCTCCTTTAAGTTGCCCTTGTACTCACTCAGATCTGCCTGGAAATGGGAAGGGCCCACAGGGTGATACACCAGGCTCATCCCTTGGAATTGAGCCATGGGAGCAACAGTTAAGTGGAGAGAGAGAAAGTGAGAAGCAGGGAGCATGCCAGACTTACCTGTGGAGGTCTGGGGGACATGGGGACCCTCACAACAGCACGGAAGGAGGAAACTTAGAACTAATTTAGAGCCCCCAGGGGTGGGTAGATCATCTTTAGTTTCACCCGGGTTGGAGGAGGAGCATAGGAAGCTGGGTCAGCACCTGCCAGCCTGATGAGAGGGGATTCTGGGGACAGTAGTTCTAAAGTGCCCCCTCCCCAACTCCTACAGAAATCTGCCTGCTTACTCGGGGCCGGCGCACAGCTAGTGTACGAGCTGACACCTACTGCCGCCTCTACTCGCTCAGCGTAGACCACTTCAACGCTGTTCTTGAGGAGTTCCCCATGATGCGCCGGGCCTTCGAGACGGTGGCCATGGACCGGCTGCGCCGCATTGGTGAGGCCCACCTGTCTCAGCCACTCTGTGCTGTCAGCTCAGAGACCCCAGGCCCAGGCTTTAGTGTTTCAACATCATACCCCATCCTACCCTTGTCCTCATTAAGCCCGACAGGCTTGTCAACTCATGGTGCACTGTCCTCATCCCTCAGTGTCTCCTACCCTTGGAGGGCACATCCAAGTCCCCATCCCCTGGACACTGACCCTCACCCTCTGATACACTCATCTCCCAGTCTCCTCCATGCACTTTTACCTGCGACCCCTTCTCCACTGGCTTCCATCAACCCCAACTCCAGTGCTCCCACCTCATCTACACACATTCCTTAATCTCCATGTTCTTGATACTCTGACCTTCAAGTCCATCCCTATCACTTCATTCAGTCTCTTTACCCTCACACTCTTGATATGCCTCCCACCATCTCCCTGTTCTCAACCCCTCCCTTCCTGGACAACTTCCAGGCAAGAAGAATTCCCTGCTTCAGCGGAAGCGGTCCGAACCCAGCCCAGGCAGCAGTGGAGGCATCATGGAGCAGCACCTGGTGCAACACGACAGGGACATGGCCCGCGGGGTGCGGGGCCTGGCCCCAGGCACAGGGGCTCGGCTTAGTGGGAAGCCGGTGCTTTGGGAGCCACTGGTGCACGCACCCCTGCAGGCAGCTGCTGTGACCTCCAACGTGGCCATTGCCCTGACTCACCAGCGGGGCCCTCTGCCCCTCTCCCCCGACTCTCCGGCCACCCTCCTTGCCCGCTCCGCTCGCCTCTCAGTAGGCTCTCCAGCCTCCCCTCTGGTGCCTGTCCGAGCTGCCCCTCTCCTGGTCCGGGGGCCATGGGCCTCCACCTCCCGCCTGCCTGCCCCTCCTGCTCGAACCCTCCATGCCAGCCTGTCCCGGGCTGGACGCTCCCAAGTCTCCCTTTTGGGCCCTCCACCAGGAGGGGGTGGACGAAGGCTGGGACCTCGGGGCCGCCCACTCTCAGCCTCCCAACCCTCTCTGCCTCAGCGGGCAGCAGGGGATGGCTCTCCAGGGAGAAAGGGCTCAGGAAGTGAGCGCCTGCCCCCCTCAGGGCTCCTGGCCAAGTCTGCAGGGACACCCCAGCCCCCCAGGCCACCAGTGCCTGATCCAGCTGCCCCTCGGGGTCCTCAACTCTCTGCCAACATGTGAAACCCTTGGGCACAGCTGGCCTTCGCTCTTGGGGTACAGTAGTGTGTGCCTGGGGGCCGATGCCTCTTGGGAAGACTGAGGGGCCTTGAACCACTCATCTGTAGGAGTGGCCTCAGCTCAGGCCCACTACAGCCTGACATCCTCCCAACCCACTCACGCGCTCATGACATGGACTAAGTGCCTGCTGTGTCCCAGGCACCATGCCAGGCTCTGTCTCCACTGCCAAGTAGAAGTGACTCCTTGCCCTCTACTGAGGGTATTCCCCTGGCCTTGGCCCTGCCAGGTGCAGTGCCAGGCCATGATCTTACCTTTACTAAGCACAAGTACCTGCCACTGCCATCACTGCCAAGTAACTAGATGTCTCTCTGTTTCCAGTGCAGGCCTCACCCTGCCTATGACCCTGCAGGTATCTTCCTCAACCCTAGTATAGCCTGGCACTGCCAACTAGCCGTGTCCCCATCGCTGTCAAGAATGGAAGTCCTGGGTCCCCGACTCGCGCATCCACCTTTGCCCCTCACTGCTGTCTGTGGTCCCTGTGTCTTCCTGCCAAGTTCCCCGCAGTCTCTGTCTTTGTGGTAGAACTTGTCTTTTTGTGAACTGAGCAGTACCTCCTCCCTCTGCCCCCAGCCTTTCGAAGCTTGGGGATAATTGACACATCTTTATTTAGTGTGCTAGCCTAGATCCCCCCAGGTGGGGGCAAGTGGCAGACTCCTTAGATAACATCTCACCCCCCTTTTATATATATTTATTTATTTGACCACTTACTGATTTTATTTATTCACTGTTGTTGTGTGGCAGCTGACTCCTTAGAGAACATTCCCCCTTCTGTGTATATTTATTTATTTATTTATTTGATCCCTTACTAATTTTATTGATTTATTCATTAGGTAATATTATTATTACTGCATTTTATCTCCTGGTTCCTTCATGTATCCCTCTCCTCCCCTCCTGGCAGGAAGCCAGGAGGAGGCAGGGCCCCTGCCAGCTCTGTGGACCTTGCCAAACTCCATCAGCAGCAATACTGGACTCCCTCCCCACTGAGGTAGGGGCAGGAAGGGCCACCCGAGAAGGGGAGAAGGACTGTTTTTACTTTTGGGGATTTTTGGCTTGGTTTTGCTGTTATTATTTTACTGAGTTTGCTGTTGATGTGGGAGTAAGGGGAGGGCCATGGTATCCAAGCCTGGGGAGAGCAGGCCAGCCAGCATCTCTGTCTTCTCAGGGACAAGAGAAACCTCACCGGCACCCCATCTGTCCCCTCTCCTACTCTACAGTGTTGATTGTGGGGTCAGAACCCTGGCATCTAAATCCCTTCAGGGTGGCAGGTCCTGGGGTTCTTGGTGTATAGGAGAAATTTTATAATTGCTTCAAACAGCTTTAAAAAGACATTGGAGACACTCATTTTGGCTCCTGATTTGTGTATGGGAATGGGGTGGGTGCAACAAGGAACTGCAAGGCATTTGGCCCAGCAGGGTGTGAGGTGGGCATGAGGGCAGGCAGCCTACAACCTGGAGGCTGTGAAGACAGTGATGCAAGGGGTCCCCCTAGCACCCACCATACCCACCACCACTCCCACGGGCACTGTGTTGTCACTGTTGGTCACCATGAGGAGGGGCTGCCCTGGCTTGAGGCCATCAGGAGGAGGGGCACTTTGCTCAAGCAGTGTCCACGTATCAGGAGGCCACACATGGGAGCATCAGACTGCAGAGATATAAAGTCTTTTTAAAAGACTCATTTTTTTTACCAGGGTGGTTTTGTTTTTTGTTTTGGTATTTTTACCAAAGTGATTTTGTAGAGTAAGACCGCAATTGCCCTGTCCCCCTTCTCTCCCACCCAGGGATGGGAGGGCTAGGGGATAGAATTAATCAGCCAAGCTGGGATTAAAGGCTCAGCATGTCTTAGGGCCCAATGAGTGGATTGGATGCAGGGAATGTACAATTGGTGCTGCTGAGCGGGCAGTACTTAGTGGGATGCCCACTGTCAGGCTTGCAGGACATGGAGAGGGGGAAGGGGCTTCTTGGAATGGGGCTGCCTGGCAGATGCGGCCTTGCATGAGAACCTTAGGAGGGTTGGCACTGGAGACTACTTCCCTTAGAGGTGGGGCTGCAAGAGGGGTGTTGGGGTGGAGGATGCAGCAAGAAAGGGGTAGATTTGGGGGTGATCTGAGTCAGAAGGGAGGGGCGTCTCAAGATATACTCAGCACCCGCATGATGTTGGTATAGCCAGAGCCAGGCCGCCAGCCTGTCACCACAATCACCAGGTCCCCCACACGGAGAAAGCCACGCAGCTTTCCTAGGGAAGGAAGGAAGGAAGATGGTCAACAGACGGGACTCAGGCCAGCCCTGTAATGAGGAGCAGCCCTGACCTCCCAAGAGCTCCCCCCACGCTGCAGTGCATCTCACAGGGAAGGTACAATGAGGCCACAGGTGTGTGCATGAAACTGGATGGGATATAGTGTTGCTAGGCAGCAAGTCTTCTGTCCATCTGTGTTACTATGCTGATATGGGAGAGAATTGAGCATATCGCAGTTATAAGTTAAATTTGTTTTAGTTGCATCTGCTGGAAGCTTCCCTCTCTCATTTCTTGCTCCTTATGCCATGCCTGGCTCTAGCCACTCAATCAGGAAGCAGCTGGTGAATGTCTTTAGGGATATCCTTACCCTCTTCTGTTCTGTTCCCTCAGCATGGTCAGAAGTCAATACTAGAGGAAAGGGCAAGGCTCCCTGGGTGGCTGTGGGAGACTGGAGAAGGGGATTCAGTGCGCATGCCAGAGGGGTGGGATGGGAGGTCTAGGACACTCACCACTTTCAATGCCGAACTGGACCCGGCGATCCACATCATCTGCCCAGATAGCCTCTGGAGCTTCACGGTAGAGCAAGGGGAAGACGCCTCGGCACAGGTGGGCCTGGCGGGCAGCCTGGGCAGAGCGTGTGACAGCAATGACCGCAGCCCGAGGTCGGTACCGAGAAAGAAGCTGGGCTGAGCTGGAGGAGGCAGAGGTGGTGCTGAACCAGCAAGCAAGAATCTGGGTTCTAATTCCCGCTGTCACCAGTAAGCTGGGTGACCCCGGATACATCATCATGCTCCTCTGTGCCTCAGTTTCCTCCTCAGTAAAGTAGGCATAAGAGTACCTGCTTTTTCTATCACACAGGAAGACGCTGGTCCAGTGTGATCTTGAGAGATCTCTGAGAAACATAAACCTCTTCTGGAAATGTGCATTAATAAAGTGCTTAATTTATAAAAAAAAACCATTCATGTTGTCAGCTGCAATTGAGCCAGCCAGCAGCTCATGGTGACCCCATGCACAATTACATGAATGCTCCATCCCCAAGACCAGGTGAGGATTGTCATCCAAAGGAGTTCACTGGCTGGCTTGCAGGAGTAGATGAATGACTCATCACTGCCGACAAGTCAGAACCAACTCATAGCTGACCTTCCACTGGGTTCCTGAGGCTGTAAATCACATAGGAGGAGACTGCCCATCTTTCTCCCTTGGTGCTGCTGGTGGATTTGAACCACTACAGAGGCCCCACCTTTGGGTGAGCAGCACAGCTCTGTGTAGACTAGGCCACTAGAGTTTCCAGGAGTAGCCAAACATTTTGATGATGATGTGTACTGTCAAATCAGATCTGACTGGTACAGGAGGAAATTGCCCCTCCTTTTCCAGCAGAACATCTGAATTCGTATCGCGTACCTCTGTGATTGCAGTGGAGCTTCTTGCCACTTGGCCATGAGAGCTCCCCAGCCAAGCCTTTCTTACTGGTCTGTCATAGTTTGTTAAGAGCCACTGAAACATGTTTAGCATCATGTAGGCTTTACTGACAGAAGTGCGTGAGGTGCTGCCTAGGAATCAAACCTGGGCCTCCCACCTGGAAAGCGGGAGCTACCACCAGCACACACATTATCCCCTGATATCACAAGCCCATGAAGAACACATTCCTAGCCCCATCATAAATGAAGCCAATCCCACTGTCATTTAATCAATTCTGACTCAGCGACCCTATAGGGTAGAGTAGGGTCCTGGTGGCTTTGTGGTAAATAATTGCCCTGTCAGCACAAAAGTATGTGGTTTGAACCCAGCTGCTCTGTGGGAAATGGGCAATCAACTCCCATGTGACTTACTGCTTCCGGAAACCTGCTGGAGGGTCAGCTATGGGTCGCTTCTGACTTGATAGTACACAACAACAACATAGAATGGAGTAGAACTGCCCTATAGAATTTCCAAGGCTATAAATCTTTAAGGAAGTACATTGTCATACCTTTCTCCTGAGGAATGGCTTGTGGATTCAAATTACCAACCTTTTGGATAGCAGTCAAGCACTTAACCACTGTGCCACCAGGACACTTGCGCTCTATCATAGAAACACAGGCTGGTACAGGTCTCCTAGGTAATGTAGTTCAGAGTAAAGGCTCAGACCTGGGTTCTTCAGCACCACCTCAGCACTGTGCCCTGAGGACTAATTATAAAGGACTCTTTTTCCATGTCAAGGCACCCAGCGATGAAGCCACCATCCTCTTCCAGACTCCTGTAACTGGCTGGTGGTAGTGTTCTCTGTGTGCTCTGGGACTTGCCACCTCTGTCCTCCAGCTCTCTTAGCCACTTCTTCTCGGGCTTCAGAATACTTACTAGTCATCCCTGCTCACTACATAAAACCCAGCCCACTTCAGCCCTCCCCAAATGCAGCCTGGCCATCTCCCATGCTCCCTCACCGGCCAGTCTTTGTCAGCACGATGATGGCAGCAGCGCAGCACTTGAAGGCGGCCTCCACTGCACCGATGGCGGTGACCTCGGTGGGGTCTCGGCTCAGTGGCGCTGCCCGGCGTAGCTCCTCAAACAACTGCCGGTGGTAGACGGCAGCCTCCGCCTCTCGGGCAATCTGCAGAGACAGGAGGCTGGGCACTGGGCACCAAAGGGTTTCCTTCCCTGCCCCACTTGCTCTGCCTTCAGACCACCTACCGCGTGCTGCATTTTCACAGCCTCCACAGGAAAGCAGCCCTTGGCGGTCTCCCCTGACAGCATGATGCAGTCAGCTCCATCGAGCACAGCGTTGGCCACATCACTGGTCTCTGCCCTAGTCGGCCGGGGCTTGGTGATCATGCTCTCCAGCATCTGGGGACATACTGGACGTCAGCAATTGGGGTCATATTCCTGCCCAGGGCCCTGCCCAAGCAACCCTTCTAACTCTCAGAGTGTCCCTGAAAGCCAGGGTTACAAAAAGCCATGTGATCCCGACAGTTGAGTTTCCTTATCTTAAAATGTTGCTGTGTACTGTTGAGTCAAAACTGACTCATAACTGACCCTCCAGCAGGTTTTCAGAGGCTGTTAATTGCATAGGGGGAGACTGCCTATCTTTCTGCTGAGGAGCATCTGGTGGATTCGAATCACATGCCTTTGGGATTGCAGCACAGCTTCTTACCACCAGGCCACTAGAGATCCCTTATCTGAAAATAAGGGTCACATAATTTCTTCCTTAAGCCACTGTATCCGAGGATCCAATCCTGGATAGCAAAATATGCTACAGACCTAAGATCTGAGCTTTTCCCCTTGTGTATCCCCAGGACCTAATTTGCGGGTTCATCCAGACCTGCGTGGCACAGACTACGGGCTTGCCAGCCAAGTTACAGCGCCCAATCATCATCTTCTGAGCCAGGAAAACCTTCTCGGGTGGGATCTCAATGCCCAGGTCTCCCCGGGCCACCATGATCCCGTCGCTCACCTCCAGGATTTCGTCAAAACTGAATGGTTGAGGATGTCAGGATGTTAGGAAGAGGCAAGAGGGAGAAGGGCAGCAGAGGGAGTGTTACAGGGCCTGACCGGACAAGTAAAGACCAAGTCTCACTTCTTCACGCCTTCATGGTTCTCAATTTTGCTGATGATCTTGATGCCCTGCCCTTCTGGTCCCAGAGCAGCCCGGACAGCCACTACATCGCTGGCCTTCCGCACAAAGGAGGCAAAGATGATGTCCACACCATGCTCCACCCCAAAGCGCAGGTCCTGGGCATCTTGCTGGGACAGACTGGGCAGGTCTACCTGGGCGCCAGGCAAATTCACCCCCTTCCGGCTTCCTAGGACACCACCATTCTCCACTTCGGTCACCAGCCCCTCTGGGCCTGTGGGCATAGAGAGAGCCAGCCTGGTCAGAGGTATGGCCCAGCCTAGCCACAGCAGAGGGACGTTGAGCTTGGATACTCATGAGAGCAGGATCCCTGAGGCAGCAGATTACACAGTAAACAAAGGAAGTACGAAGTACTGATATCTTCTTACTAATCTGTAGTGAACAATTTCACCTGTTTTTACAAACTACTTAAGTAATGGAAAACACCTGACAATGTTTACTACAGCCTAGGAAGTAAGCACAAGTATACCCATGCCGACCTTGCCTACTGGGTACTCTGTCCCTGCCAGGGACTGTCAATTTGAAAAGCAGCTTTCATCCTCTGGGAAGCTGCTGTGGGGTTGGGACAGATAGATGCCAGCACCCCTAGAAGCAGTGGGGGAATGTGAAACCGTTCACTACAGATCAGTAAACAGTGAGCCGGTGCTTGTTACTTACTGGGTAATTCAATATGGATCATGTCCTATGGGCCTCTCATTCTATTTGGTACATTCGCCTCGTTGATAACAGGCTCAGGCCTATCTCGGG